CAAAAAATTATTATCAAAAAAAAAGAAAGGACAAATATGAACATTGTAATAAAGCATTTCTAGAATTATTAGAATTCTTCAGAGTTTGAAGACTTGCAACATGGCAAAGCAAACATCCACAAGCTTAGAGATAGACATTAAATGTAAAGATCATCACATTTGATGGAAAAGAACATTATTTCCATATGAGGCTACAGATGAACCCGTTGTTAATGACAAAAACAAATTTAAAATTAATTTCCCGCCCTGGCCGGTTCGGCTCAGCGGTTAGAGCGTTGGACTGCGGTCCAGAGAGACCCAGGTTTGGTTCCTGCTAAGGGCACGTACCTAGGTTGCAGTTTGTCCCCGGCCCTGGTTGGTGGTGCGGGTGGCAGCCACTCAATGTGTCCCTTTCACGTCGATGTTTCTCTCTTTCTCTCTCTTCCTCTCTCCCTCCCATTCTACCTGAACAAAAAAAGGGAAAAAATGTCCTCGGGTGAGGATAAAATTAATTTCCCTTGTAACTGAAGATGCAGTGACAATGCATAAACAGGCACTTTGAATTATATAAAAGCTCGGAGCCACTGAAGCCACTTGAACTTTCTTGTACTCCCTTCACAAGTTACAGAAAGTGTAAGGAAATATTACAGTGTATTACACTAGTTACACTTTCACAATTGCAAAATTATAATAATTTATGTTTTAAGCAAAACTAGACAAACAGAGAAAGACAAATATCACATGATCTCACTTATGTGGAATATAATGAACATAACAGTCGAAGGAACGGGGTAGTCCCAGAGATGTGGAAGTGGGGTACAGACTGACAATCCCCAGAAGAGGGGGTGGGGAGGAGAGATAAACTACAGAACTTATATGCATGTATGCATGAACAATGGACATGGACAACAAAGCTGGGGCAGGATGGGGGGGGGGGAAGAGGGGTATCAGTGGGGGAAAAAGGAGAAACATCTGTAACAAAAATTAATTAATTAATTAAAATTTCAAAATAATAATAATTTATTATTTATATTTAAAATTAAATTCATCTAAATACAACTGATTTGTAGGAAGAGTTAAGTCTTTTTAGAAGAATTATTCCACAAGAATCACCAGCCCTACATGTGCTAAAATTTTTATTTTTAAATAATCTGTCAAAAATGCATCCCATTGTTATATAGACTAAAAATACTCTTAACATCTCCAGCAATAATTACAATGAAGAAGGATCCTCCTCAAGATTTAATATTATCAAAACTGATTGGCACCCTGGCCAGTTTGGCTCAGCGGTTGGAGCATCGGCCTGCGGACCAGAGAGTCCCGGGTTCGGTTCCTGCTAGGGGCACGTACCAAAAAAAAAAACAACTGATTGGCAAACATGCATTTGCCAAGAGCAACTGATGTTGCTTTCAATTATAGCAATTAAAAAATGAAGTCGGCCCTGGCCAGCGGGCTAGGTTGGTTGGTGCATAGTCCAGTATACCAAAAAAAGGTTGTGGGTTCAATCCCCCACTGGGGCATATGTGGGAGGCGATTGATGTTTCTCTCAGATCGATGTTCCTTTTTCTCTCTAAAATCAATAAACATATCCTTTGGTGAGGATAAAAAACCATTTTTTAATGAAGCCATTAAAAATATACATTTTGATGGCCTAAGAAATAAATTGGCAGGAAGCAAGCCAGAAAAATCGTATAATCAATCAAGATATCACATTAGTAAGGTATCATTATTTATTGTATTATATAAATTATAACACCAAAAATATTTTTTACATTTTGTGACATGGTGTTACTCATGTATCACTATAACCCCCATTGTATTTTGTAAGTAATATAATACTTTTAAAAGGAAAGGCTTTATATTTAGTACCTTCCGTGGCACTTCTCTCTCTCTCTCTCTTTAACAAAGTGCCCTGCATTTTTACTTCACCCTGGCCCCACAGATGAAACAGGCAGCCTGGCTGCCACTGAGCACTCTTCTCCCCAGGCGCCACTCAAGGCTGGCCGCTTTTCATGACACAGTACAGTAGTACTTACTGTTCTAAGACCCCAGTGGGTGTCTGATATGGGATAGTACTGAACCCTATATATACTATGTTTTTTCCTTTTTTTTATTTTTTAAATTCTCACCCAAGGACATTTTTTTCATTTTTTATTCAGATAGAGTGGGAGGAAGAGAGAGAGAAACATCCACGTGAAAGGGACACATCGAGTGGTTGCCACCCGCACGACCCAACCAGGGCCGGGGACAAACTGCAACCGAGGTACACGCCCTTAGCGGGAATCGAACCTGGATCTCTCTGGACCACAGGCCGATGCACTAACCACTGAGAAAACCGTCCAGGGCCTATGTTTTTTTCTTATACATACATACCTTTTCACTAAAAGGGAGCACTTTATGGCTTCTCTTTGGCATATCCGAATTGCTAGCATCACTACCTTGTGCTTTAGAGTCATTATTAAGTAAAACAAGGCTTCCTTGAACACAAGCACTGTGACACCTCAACAGTAGATTTGATAACCTAGACAGTGACCAAGTGACTAACTGGTGTGTATGCCAGACAAAGGGATGCGCCTCCCATTTGGGGCAGAGGGGTACTGGGGCAAGATTTCAGCAAGCTACTCAGAATGGCATGCAATTTAAAACTTATGAATTGTCTATTTCTGGAATTCTCCATTTAATATTTTCTGACCATGGTTGACTCTGGGTAACTGAAACTATAGAAAGTAGAACACAGAAACGGGGTAACTATTCTATATGGGCTGGGGCAGTACTCCTAGTTAGATTGGGTTGCATACAGAAGACAAAAGAAATCTACCAAACATTGTGCTTCCTTCTTCGTAGTAAGAAATACAAGATACAGTAATTTGTTTTTACTCTGGAGGCAATGTCCTGGCACATCCCTGGACCCCTAATCCTGAGGTGCCAAGCCTCTGAATTTTCATAAGGTCTATCTCCCACCCTCCAGAGCACATATCATATCAAAGATCCAGCATGCCTCTTGTTTGCCCTACCAGATCAGCATGAGGTCATCAATGTGATGGATGGATATGATATTCTGTAGGATGTCCAGAGAGTCTAGTTCTGCTTAAACTATATTATGACACACAGTTATAGCAGGTGCTTTAACAACTTGATTTGTTAATTCTCTCATCTCTATCATTTATTATCTGTTTCTACTGACAGATTTTTCTCCTGGTTATTGGTTGTATTTTCCTGTTTGGGAGGGGGGGCTGTATAGTTATTTTTCTATTGGACACAAGACATTGTGAATTCCACATTGTTGAGTATTTAGATTTTGTCGTCTTCCCTTAATGAGTGGGGACCTTGTTCTGGCAAGCAAGTTATGGTTTCTTGAAGGTCAGCTTGATATTTTGAGACTTCTATTTAAACTTTGTTATAACATAGGTGTACAGTACTTTTCATTTATGATAGTTTAGCTCTACTACTAAGATATAACCTTTCTGGGTTCTCAACTGAATGCCTCTTGTGATTAAGGAAGACTTTCCATTCTGGCTTGTTCTGCAACATCTCCACCTCCTTTGAGAATTATTACAACTCCTTAGTTATTCATTGTCTTACCTGATGGTGCCTTCAACCAATGAGCATGCACCTTAGGGTTCAACAAAGTCTCATGGAGCAGATTTATGGAGTTTACATAGCTTCCTCCTCTTGCAACTTTGCCACACAACTTCCAGCTGTCTCAGCCTCCCCTAATCTTAATCTCTGTCCCCTCAACTTAACTTTGTTCTACATGGGCTTCTCTTTCTGGCTCCCAGGATCAGAATGTGCCACCAGGTAGAAAACTGGGGCAACCTTTCTTTTGTCTAAGACTTATAGTTGTAGATATGACATTTTTAAGTACTTAAACAATTATTTTTACCTTATAGTACAGTGCTTTCACAAGTTTTAAAGGTTTTTTGTGTTGGATGATCCAGCTTGGAGAATATACCCTTTGCTAGGAGCCAGGAGGTACAGCCTATTGTTCAGTTAGGAGTAAGGCTTGACAGCTCACCTTGCCAGGGATGCTTCTGTTTTCAAACACTTCAGCAGAGGGGATGGTAGAGCTGCTCCGGAGCCACCACAGAAATGTCTCAAGCTCTAATTTCATGGAACTTTTCCCCTAAATATTACTTAACGTGGTTGGGTGACCATGTTTCATGGGTTTTTTGTTCAATGTACACATCCTCCAACATCTTCTAAGAGGGCTTTCAAAAATTCACCAAGGTGCCCTGGCTAGTGTGGCCCCGTGGGTTGGAATGTCATGCACAGAAAGGTCTCAGGTTCCATCCCCACTCAGGGCACATACCTAGGTTTCGGTTTCGGTTCCACCCGGGTTGGGCTGGAACAGGAGGCAACCGATCAATGTTTCTCTCTCCCTCTCTCCCCCTTCATCTCTCTCAACTCAATAAACATAATCCTCTGTTGAGAATTTTTTTTTAATTCAAGAGATACTGGGGTAAATATTTGAAAATACACCAAGGAATATTAGGCTGTCAGGATAGCTTAAATTGTTGGTTTGTTTGAAACCACTATTAACAGCAGATTAATAACATAACTAGGCCTGGAATTAAGAGCGCTGACTTGGAACCCATCTCCAAATTTAAGAGCTGAGTTGCAAAGAAAAGTAAAACGTATTAAATGAGTGTTCTCTGGCGCGGGGACTAAACAAGGTGGAGCCCAGACTGCCCACCAGCCGGCCTTACTATCTAGTAGGTATATTCCACCTCTCTCCCTCCTTTTCATCCTATCCTCGCTCTGCTTTCATTTCTGCACCACGTGCTCAATACAGGTGCCCCCAACCAAGCCCGAGCCTGAGCCTGAGCCTGGGCCTGAGCCTGGGCCTGGGCCTGAGCCCCAGGCAGGCGCTCTCGGCCGGCTCCTCACCGATTGGGCCCACTTCCGGCTCCCTCGCCCACCTCCCTCCCTTTCGGTCCGCAGCCCCGCCCCGCGGCCGCTCCTCACGTGACCACGCGGCGTGCTCCGCCCCGTCCCGGCTCACGTGATCGCGCCCGGGGAGAAGACGCCTGACCTCAGCCCCCGGCTTTCACCGTACCTCTTCTTCCTGCCGCTCTTCGGCCTTTCGCCCTTCCGCCACCTGCGCGTCCTCACTCAACGTCCCCGGGTTACCCTGGAGCCCTGTCCGTCATGCGGCTTCTGCCTCTGGCCCCAGGTGGGCCCCGGCGGCACAGCCCCCGCCACCTGCCCGCCTGCAGCCTAGCGCTGCTGCTGCTGCTGGGCTGCTGCCTGGGGGTGTCCCGGGTGGCGGCGGGCTCTCGGAGGCCCAACGTGGTGCTGCTCCTCACCGACGACCAGGACGAGGTGCTCGGCGGCATGGTAACTCCTCTCTGTTTCTGCCCCGCCCCTCTCTCTCTCTCCGGCAGACTCCTGGTTTCTTGCTCTCTTTTCCCATCCGTACCCCGACTCCCTGAACTGGCTGCCTTGACCCTGGGTAGGTTTGCTTTTGCCACGCCAGGCCCTTTACGCAGGTCTGAGGGGGTCACAAGACTCTATTTCCTCTTCTGGCTTTAGTGTCTCTTCTGATTGACTCACATGCACGCGCTACACTGAGCTTGCAGTCGGGACCTCCTGCTGCGGAGTCTGCGTTGGTTCCCAGCTCAAGATAACACAGCTGGACCCGGCTAGCGATGGGCTGAACCAATGCCGAGCAGGTGTTGGCTAAGAATATGCAAGCCTTGATTATCTGTTGGATTAGAAGCCAAGACTAGCCCCCTGAGGACCTAGGCCACTCTGCCTTTGTCCCCAGGTGCAGTGTCTGCGCCTGATATTTAGAAGTGCTGAAATGAACTAATCTGGTAGGTAGGTTGTTGAACTATTCAGGGTGTGCTTTGCCTCACAAGAATCAAGAAAATCCAATTAGCCTAATCGAACACCTGGTTGATACATTAGCTGCTGTCAGTGTTCCAATTTATATCATATGGGTGTTGTCATGAGACTTCATTCTTTCCTAGAGTTAATTTTGCTTCTGTATCTGAGAGTCTTGAAGTTTATGACCCTCAGGCGTATCCACCCAACCCCTTACTCGTGATGGTCCAGAAAGAAAGTGCCTTGCCCAAGGTACATAAATAGTTGAGGCAGTCAGGTCAAAACCCAGACTGGTGCTGGGATCCTGGGTATGGTATACCTCTCTGTAAGAACAAGTGCTTTGTTGCTTTCTTCCTTTCAGTTCTCTTTTTGCTTTCAGCAAAATGCTGAGATTATGAAAACACTGCAAGCAAGAGGTTCCTAACTTTCACTGTGTGCTAACACCCTTGCTCAGTGTCCTTCATCCTGCTGATTTCAGCCCATAAATGAGTTGTGAAACCAGTTCAGTAACTACCAGCATTTTCACTTTCCTATGGAATAGAGTAGAATAGAAAATGTCAGTGTGGTTCATGCAGCAAAGGTAAGCATATGTATGTGTATGCATGTGTGTGTATTCATTTGGGCTGTGAATTAAAATATTTCTTACTCAGGGTCGTGTTCAAGAGTATGAAAGTCTTCCCCAGCTGATGTTGATGATGCTTGCATTTTGACTCCACACTTCCTACCACATATGCCTCATTACCTTTTAATTTCTACTGAGCCACTGACAGTGAAGAGTCTTGAGCCTTCCTGGATTTTACTTTGGTTTTTTTTTCCACCACTCCCAATAACTACACTTATCCTCACAAAATTCTGTGTTTAAAAAATAATAAATATCTTTTGTGTCCTTGAAAAGTATTTTATCCAGATAAAGCAAGCCACGTCTATAAAAAATTAATAATGGTTTAGTGAGTAAAGCATAATTAAAAGGTAAAGTTTTCACATCTCTGTTGAAAACAAAATGCATCACTTAAATATAAGGTGTGGTGTTCAGAATTCAGTTTCTTCAATTTTTGTAGACCACAAATGTGGTCTATGTATACGTATCTGAGGTCTCTTCCCTTTAACATGGTAATCATTTTTGTTTGTTTAAACCAAAGCAGATTCTTTTTTATAGGCGTTAGTTTATCGTGGAGAGGAAAGCCAAAATTGAACGGGGGAACAAGTCGAATTTAACCCTCCAATTCTGGAGAATTCTAGCTTCTCTTGAAGTCTTTTCTAGAATATTTTATGACTAGTTGTCAAACAGGACTTGAAGGGGAAGAGTAAAGACGATAACAGCATTTGAGATTCTACTTGGAGCCAGAGTGTGAAATGTTTTATACTTGTGCATCAGTCATCATAGGATTCCTCTGCTGTCCTTGTCTTAAATAAGAAGAAACTAAAATTTGGAGGGGGTTAGGTAACTTGGTCAAGATTCATATAGCTAATGCGGGAGAAAGCCTGGTGTCTTATGATCTCAGAGCCCCATGCATTTTCTCCTGTTTGAGAATACTGTGATAATACTGACTTAGAGATGTCATTCCACATACCCACATCAGCATAGTTACTTATACCATAGGTCAGAGATTCTTCAGGTGACTTTCAGGAGCACCAGTAAGGTCATCGAACTTCTTAATTTACATGTAATAAATAGTTCGTGTATATTTATCTTTGTAGATAGAGGTCTGTGACCCCAAAAATGATTATGAATTGCTACCATAGCTGGCAAAATAAAAAGTAGTCAGTCACCGAGACTAACTCAGGTGAAAGGATTATAACATTTCTATGATTGTGGTTTAATGTGAACTCTTTCATCTTTGAGATAGTCTTTTTCTTTTTTTTAAATACCTTTTTTATTGATTTTTGAGAGAGAAAGAAAGAAACATCAATTGGCTGCCTCCTGCACGCTCTCCACCAGAGTTTGAGCCTGCAACCTGGGCATGTGCCCTGACTGGGGATTAAACCAGTGATGACCTCTTGTTGCATGGGTCACCACTCAACCACAGAGCCACACCAGCTGGGCTGAAGTAATCTTTTATTTGATAGTGTCGTCTTTAACATTTGTTGCAGCTATCATCTGTGGGATTCTGGGTTTTTGTTTATTTTTTTTTGCCCAGGGAACTGGTCCTATCATTTTCTTGATTTTTAAAATGTTTTTAATCCTCACCTGAGGACAGGTTTATTGACTTTAGAGAGAGGGGAAGGAAGAGAGAGAGAGAAACAGGGATGTAAGAGTGGAATATCAATCAGTTGCCTTCCAGGGATTACACGCCCCAACCAGGGATTGAACCCGCAACCTGGGTATGTGCCCCAGCCAGGAATTGAATTCGCCACCTTTGGATGTATAGATTGACACTCCACACCAGCTAGGGCTCGATTTCTTGATTTTATTTTGATGTGATTATGGTGTGATGGACATACTGTTCTTCACAGAAGCACAGGATGTTCTTTATAAAATAATTCATTCAAAGTGACATTGGTTAAAATTTCAAGGAAGTGAGGGAAGGAGTCATAAAAAAATATAGGGGAAGAATAAATACATCATGTCTCTGCTTAAAGCAAAGTGGTTTTGCATCGAAAAAGGAAAAGTTAGCTATAGAATTATTAGAATTGTCAAAACTTTATTTTAGAACAGATATACATGGGATCTAGGAAAGGAAATGACTCCTTAGGATTTTTATGGAAGGGATTTTGCTTCAGATGAGTAAAGTAACACATTTACCTATATGCAAGTATAAGATTGGCTGCTTTATAAAGAATGGTGTACGGCCTTAACCTCACCAGCCACCATCTCTGCATAGATCTTAAGGATCCATGTTAGCATTCAGATTAGCATGGACGCATATACTTTTCAGTACAGTGTGGTTTCTTGCTTGGGACTTCTTTTATTAAGCATAGATTTTATGCTTATTACTTGTACTATTAGTAGTTTAAGTATTATGGTTATTAATGTAAATCTACTACACTAAACTCTAGATTCCTGTGCAGCCCTGCATCGGTCTCTGCCTAACTCTATGACCTTGTCTTATCCCACTCCCCCTTTACTTTCTGCACTGCTTCTGCCAAGTGGCCTTTCTGTCCCTCACATGTGCCTCTTTTCCTCTCTGGCAGCCTTGGTATTTGCTATTCATTCCGCCTATAAGCATCTTGTCTTGGGCCTTTGCGTGGCTGACTCTTCATCATGTGACTCTCAGTACTGGTTACCTCCTGAAAGAGGCCATTCCTGACCTACCATCTAAAGTGTTTTCCACCTTTTCTCCCACCAACTGTAAGCACATCATCCTGGTTTATTCTGTTCACAGCCCTTTTCACCACCCAAAATGATTGTTTATTTACCCATTAGTTGTTGAAGTCCCCAAGAGTACAAGGATCGTCAAGGCAGGGACCTTCTATATTTTGTCCACCATTGCCAAGACCAGGACCTGGCACAAGCTAAATGTTTAACAAATGTTTTGTAATCACACAGTATAGCCTTACTATAAATCAGATATTCCTCAGTAATATTGCATATTTATCAGGTAATTTGATAATTAAGTCCAATATAATTAACTCACAGGGCCTTTTCCTCACTTAACTTTGCATTCTCATTTCTCCTCCCTCTATCCTCACTGTAACTCAGATTCTTCATCCAACTAATGTTTTATTCAGCCCAGTGTTCTGTACCTGAGTGTAGCACCCACTGATAGTTTTTGGGGGGAGATTATGGCTGGTGATATAGATTCTGAAGGTCACCAAAGATCTTACATGTCTCTAGCATTTCCTGGGGACCTATTATTCATCTACTCATAAAATTATTAAAGCTTTTCTTGAATAAATTAGAATTCTCATCCTTTTAAGCTTATGGGTTCCTTAGTTTTCTATTATCTGTAAAACAGTGAGGAAAAGTAGTTTATACAGTGTTGAAAACGAAGCTTTGGTTAACACAGTTGTATATTTGGATTATCTTTAAGGAACTATTATACAGCAAGATACTCTTCAAGCAGCATTCAGTATAGTTTTAGATTTCAAAGGTACTTGAGAATCATCATAAACTGATTCTATAATGCCACTAAAATGAGCCTCTTCAATGGTTCTTTCTTGCTGTGTGGCATCTGAATAAAGATTATTTAGATTTATGTGTGACCATCTCTATACTCTTATCCTCACTGTAGGATTTGATATTATTCTCTATACTTGTCAGCGTCTTAGATTTTGAACAAAAGATAAAAAGCAAGGATATAAACAAAGTAATTTATGACTAGTCTTTTGCTTGACAGGGTTCTTTGTACACCTGTTTGCCACCTGGTTCAAGTCCTTACCTGAGGTGGTGGTGCGGCTAGTGCCAAGGGCCGTGAGTTTATAGTTGAAAAGGGTGCATCGGGCTCCACCACTGAATGTTTGGTATTTGTGTTAGTCTCAGAGCCTCAGCTTGCTGGCTTTCAGGACCTAAGTGTTACAACTGTTTTAAAAGGTGGAAGATGGAAGGTTCCTTTTATATGATTTCCCACATCCTGCTTCTAAAGATGAATTAATGGAGATAGTTCTGCCCTACCTAATAAGGGGAGTGGTGACATGAGATAAGGGCAAAGATTTTGTAACATTGAAATCAGCATTGCTGGAATAATACCATCAGCTGTGAACTTTCCCTTCCTGCAAGCCTTATGAACCGCTGAACTTTTGCATAGGAAAGAACTGACTAACCAAACCTGTTTGCTTCATCTCCAGAATCAGTATCTCAGCTGTTTCTTAGTGTCAGGCAGAGTTGATCAGTTGGGAATAAGAGGTTGAGATAAGATGCAAAACCTACGAATTTTGGTCTCTGTTGTAGTTCATTGAAAGAAATAGTTTAACAGATAATTCTTTCCTTTACAGACACCACTAAAGAAAACCAAGGCTCTCATCGGAGAGATGGGGATGACTTTCTCCAGTGCTGTAAGTTTTTAAGCTAATTTAACTTTGTTAGACTTTAATTGTCTTTATGATCTAAGAAGAAACATTCTCTTTTGGGTAGTCTTTTTGGTTTTTTTTTCTAGTTAAATGCCTGATCTGAAAAAAGGACTTTATTTATTTATTTTAATAATTTTTTTTTATTTTTCAATTGTAGTTGACATACAGTATTATATCAGTTTCAGGTGTACACTCCTGATTAGACATTATAAAACTTATTAAGTGATCATCCCAAAAAAATCCCATACCCATCTAACACCGTCATATTTATTAGAATATTATTGACTATCTTTCCTATGCTATACTTTACACCCCCATGACTACACTATAACTACTAATTTGTACTTCTAAATCCCTTCACCTTTTTCACCCATCCCCCCAACACCCCTCCCATCGGTCTACTGTCAAAATGTTCTCTGTACCTATGAATCTGTTTCTATTCTGCGTGTTTATTTTGATTTTTTAGGTTCAATTATTGATAAATAGGTATGTATTGCCATTCTATCGTTCATAACTTTTATCTTTCTCTTCTTCTTAAAGAAGATTCTTTAACATTTCATGTATTACTGGTTTGGTGGTGATGAACTCTTTTAGCTTTTTCTTGTCTGGGAAACTCTTTATCTGACCTTAAATTCTAAATAATAGCTTTTCTGGGTACAGTAATCTTGGGTTGTAGGTCTTTGCTTTTCTTCACATTGAATATTTCTTGCCACTCCTTTCTGGCCTGCAAAGTTTCTGTTGAAAAAATCAGCTGACAGTCTTATGGGCACTCCCTTGTAGGTAACTAACTGCTTTTCTCTTGCTGCTTTTAAGATTCTTTCTTTGTCTTTAACCTTTGGCATTTAAATTATGTATCTTTGTGTGGGTCTCTTTGGATTCATCTTCTTTGGAACTCTCTGGGCTTCCTGGACTTTTATATCTGTTTCTTTCACCAGGTAAGAGAAGTTTTCTGTAATTATTTTTTCAAATAAGTGTTCAATTTCTTGCTCCCTTTCTTCTCTTTCCAGCACCTCCACGATGCAAATGTTGGTACACTTAAAGTTGTTCCAGAATCTCCTTACACTGTCTTCATATTTTGGATTCTTTTTTCTTTTTGCTGTTCTGATTGAGTGTTTTATGTTTCCTCAAACTTCAGATTGGTTCCCAGTGTCCTTTACTGTTGATTCCCTGTAAATTATTCTTTATTTCTTCAGTTAGTGTATCCTTTATTTCTGACTGGTCCTTTCTTATGTTACTAATGTTCTTACTAAATTCCTTGAAGTTCTAAGTTCCTTGAGCATCCTTATAACCATTGTGTTGAACTCTGTATCTGATAGGTTGCTTGCTTCAGTTTCATTTAGTTCTTTTTCTGGAGATTTCTCCTGTTCTTTCATGTGTGACATGTTTCTTTGTGTCTGCATTTTGGCTGCTTCCCTATGTTTCTATGTATTAGATAAAGCTGCTATGCCTCACAGACTTGGTAGAATGGCCTTGTATAGTAGGTTGTTTGTAGGGCCCAGTGGCTCAGCCTCCCTAGTCACCTGAGCTGCGCACTTCATGTGCACCCCTGTGTGGACTGTGTGCATTGTCCTGTTGTAATTGAGCCTTGGTTGTTGTTGGTGTCACTGGGAGGGATAGACCTCCAGGCCAATAGGCAGTGAGGACCAGTTGCAACTACAGCCAAAGAGCTGGTGTGTATGAGCCGACCCTATGGAACAGGACTTGCTTCAGTGGGGCTTTAGTGCTCACTGAGTCCGCCTCTTGAGTGTTTTGCTCATGGAGGTGGTAGGGTTGTAATCTGGCGTGGTCTGAAGCTGACCACAGGGTACACTGGTTCTGGGCCTCCTGGAAGGTGCAAAGTCAGCCACTGCCTGTGTCCTGCCTGGGACACCCGGCACTAGCTACAGAGCAATCTGCAGATGGCTGCTACGTGTGTTGGGCTTGAAGGTGCCCAGGAGAGACCAAGCTGTGAACCAAGGCAGGCAGCCACTAGTGCCAGGCCTAGAGCCGCTTATCACGAAGTATGGGGCACGCTGAGCCAGGTGCTGCTTGTTTAAGAGATTTTAGGAAAGTCTGAAGCATGAGCCAAGACAAGCCATTCACATGGAAAAGCCGCTGGAAACATCTTGGATGAGCCAGTCTTGCTGTGGCTTCTTCTTTAATTCCTTAGTTGTAGGACTTCTATTCAGTCAGATTTCAGGTGGTTCTGAATGATGGCTGTTCTGTAGTTTAGTTGTAATTTTGATGTGGTTGTGGGAAGAGGTGAGAACTGCTTTAACCTATGCCACCATCTTGACCCCCACCAGGAAGGACTTTAATGTGATGTAAATTCTGTTAATTGAAATATTACTTCTCAACCGATTGAAGATTAACTGTAGGCAATCTCTAAGCCAGTCTGATCTAAAACTCAGAAATAGAGAATTTTATTTCAAACCTGACTGAGGTTTGAAAATGGATTATGAGCATCACTGAACATTTATGCTATATAAACTGTCCCATGGTAAAAGCTTGCAGGCCACTTTATAAAACCCAGTTAACCCTGGTAGCCAAACTTGATAAAGACAATAGCAATAAAACCAACAACTGTGTGTGTGTGTGTGTGTGTGTGTAAACATAGATGCAAAGACTCAAGTACTAACAAACTTAAGAACCATGCACATACACAAGTAAGTAGTAGCCAGCTTAATATCAGGGAATCCACTGGACAGCAGCATAGTGTTGTGCTTTAGAGCACCCGCTCGAGCCGGGTTGCCCAGTTTCCAGTGCTCTCTGCCTCTTTTCCAGCTGTGTGACCTTGGGCAAGTTGTGAAGCTTTCTGCCCCTTGTTTTCCACATTTGTAAATGGGGGTACTAAAACCTATCTTTTGATACATGTAAAGCGAGCACTTGTATCAGTACCTGACTTATAAGTACATTCATCCCTTGGTATTGGTGAGGGATTTGTTCCAGGACCAGACCACCCCCACCCCCACAGGTGCCAAATCTGTGGATGCTCAAGTTCCTTAAATGAAATGGCATAGTATTTGCATATAACCTCTGCACATATTCCTGTATATTTTAAATTATCCCTAGATTACTTATAATACCCCATTCAATGAAAATGCTATGTAAATAGTTATTATACTGTTATTTAAGGAATAATGACAAGAAAATAAAGTCTTGTTCAGTAGAAATGCAACCACATCATAGACCTAACTACCCTGTTCCCATCAGCAACAACATAACTTTTTTCCCCCGAACATTTTTAATTCTTGGTTGGTTGAATCTGCGGATAAGGAATCCACAGATACCGAGGACTGACAGTTCTACATAATGGTGGTTGTTAATATTGTCCACCAACTTGGAATTGATAGTTCAAAAAAGAATAACTATATATTCATCTCAATAGATGCTTGAAAACCTCTGAAATTTTAGCATCCTTTCCTGGTAATTTATTAAACTTTTAGAAGAATACATCCTTATGATGTATTCAGACAAATAGCACACCTAAAGTTAAGGTGAAAGACTCTGGTCACTGCTGTTAGGGCTGAGGCAAAGACATAATTCTCTTAATGTTGTTCTGAACTCTCTAGTCATTGGCATTTTAGTCACTGGCATTAGTCTTATGGAATTAAGTGGTAAAAATATTGGGAAAAGACAGAGTTACTATTTCCGCTTGTTTGGATTTTCTACCTAGAAAACAATTATTGGAAAACTTTTAATAGTATTTAGTAAGGTAGAAATAAAGGAACGGTGAAAAAAAGTTCTTTCATGTAACCAGTTAGAGAAATATGGAGGGAGAAAAGATTCCATTCACATAGCAGACTCTAGGAATAGCCAGTAATAGTTGCTTAAAACATGTATACTTAAAGTTACAGAACTACCTGAGTGATATAATAAAAATTCTTAATATAAAGACATGCACATTACTTGCTGTGGGAAGACATAAGATTATAAAATGTTTATTCAGAATCTCAGTAAGATTTTTTTTTTTATGCTGAATGAAGTGATTCCAAAGTTTTCTGGAATAATAAGTAGATTAGAACAATTAGGACAACTTTTTTAAAGGAAGAAATTGCTCTACTGGATACTAAAATGTAATATGAAGATACAGTAAACAATGTGGCATTCCCAAAATAAGTCAGGAAACAAAAAAGGGTAAGAATTAAGAGAGTAGGCAAAAGTAAAAATGGGAAGTATTTGTAAATTGACTGAATTCTTTCTTAATTCAAATTTTATGTAACGCGGCCAACAGCCCAGGAGGAAAAAACGTGCAAAGCACATGATCAGATCATTCGCATAATCACAATTGGTTGGTGTGCATATGGAGAATGTTCATCCCTTACCAGTATTTTAAAATGTCTAGTCCAATATGAAAGGCCAAATAAATACTAAGTATTTAAAAGAGGTAATATGTAATTTTGGCAATGGTGTGCTCAAATGAGCCTTCCTTCTCTGAAGGTGCAAGTATAAGCTAGTATTGTCATTCTGTAAAATGGCTTGGTGATGTGTATTAAGAGATATACAAATATTGGGTATAATGGGTAAGTCTACTGATGACCGTACCTAATAAAAAACAAAGTAGAAAAAAATCTGTCCTCCCTGTGTAAGGTGATACAAGAAATATATGAAGCTACAGATCAGCCTGAAAATGATTCTCTTCTTCTTAGCTGCATTAAATTCAAGTAGTATTCTTTATCTTTGGTTAAGACCTAGCTTCCACCACACTATGCTCCTTGTAAATATTTCTTCCAGGTGAGGTTAGAATAACATTGTTATCCTGCAGAAAGAAACCAGCTGAAAAGAAATCTGTTCTCTTGGTTTGTTTTAGCTGCTTTACTGTCTCTACTGTGTTACCTAAAGCAACTCGGAAGTGTGTCGTGTGCAGAGCACATCTCTATTCCATGGGAAACTAGAAATGTGAAGTTAGAGTATTGAGCATCTTTCTTTATTCTTTTTAGAAATGATGAGAAGTTCATCTTTCTTGTGTAACTTTGTCCTTTTTGCTTCTGTTTCCTTTGTAGTATGTGCCAAGTGCTCTTTGCTGCCCGAGCCGTGCCAGTATCCTGACAGGGAAGTACCCACATAATCATCACGTTGTTAACAACACTTTAGAGGGAAACTGCAGTAGTAAGTCTTGGCAGAAGATCCAAGAACCACATACTTTCCCAGCAATTCTCAGTTCAGTGTGTGGTTATCAAACCTTTTTTGCGGGGAAGTACTTAAATGAGGTATGTTGAATGGTCTAATTATCCCCCCACCCCCTTTTTTTTAAATAACAGTTTTTAAAAATGTGAATTAATAGAATTCATGTTAATTGTTTTTTTTTTTTTTTTTTTTTTTTTTTTTTTTTTTTTTTTATCCTCACCTGAGGACATTTTTCCACCTTTTGTACAGATAGAGTGGGAGGGAGAGAGAGAGAGAGAGAGAAACATCGACGTGAAAGGGACACATCGAGTGGCTGCCACCCGCACGACCAACCAGGGCCGGGGACAAACTGCAACCGAAGTACGTGCCCTTAGCGGGAACCGAACCCGGGTCTCTCCGTACCGCAGGCCGATGTTCTAACCGCTGAGCCAAACCGGCCAGGGCTTAATTGTTTTTTAATAAGTATCCATTTAAGGTCATGTTAAAGGATTTTGGGCAAATGTTTTCTCCTAATCTGCCCATAAATAAGAAGTTATATGAACATATTTTATTTTACTTTCTTTCTTTATTCATTTTAGATAGGAAAGGAGACAGAGAGAGAAACATCAATGAGAAAGAACATTGATTAGCCGCCTCCTGCATGCCCTGTGCTGGGGATTTGGCCCACATCCTGGGCATGTGCCCTGACTGGAAATTGAACTGGTGACCTCTTGGTTCATGGGTCAACACTCAACCACTGATCAACATATGTTCAGCCGGCTGGGCTATGAACATATTTTCATCATTTGGGTACTGTAGTTATTCTTCTTTTAAATAGTCTCAGAAGCACTCATTGAAAAATTATCCTAGGACTGCCCTGGCTGGGTGGCTCGGTTGGAGCATCATCATGTACACCAAAAAGGTTGTGGGTTTGATTTCCGGTCAGGGCACATACCTAGGTTGCAGGTTCGAGCCCAGTTGGGGTGCATATAGGAGGCAGGTGATTGATGTTTCTCTCTCTTCCTTCCTCTTGGGTGAGGTTTTTTTTAAAAAAGCATATCCGAGGGTGAGGATTAAAAAATAATAATGATTTAAAAAATTATCCTAGCACTGCTGCTGTGAGATACATTTTTCCCTTTTTACGCAAGAATTCTGCTTGTCATGGTATCTTTGTTTGCATTTCCCCTTTGTTAGTATCAGAAATAATAATACTTTCTTCATTGTATCTTTCCTAAATTACAACAGCTTATGCTACCCCATTTTCTAATCTGAAAAGTGGGAAGAAAATGTGGATAGATCAGTGGTAAAGAGAAAGCACCCAGAGCCTGGGACAGTCAGGCCTTAAAGCAGGTGACTGAGTGGTTGGTGTGCTGGCCTCTTGGGCCTGGATGGAGAGAGACCAGCCAAGGCCAGATTTCCTGGCCTCACATCCACCACCTTGGCCTTAGCTTTTAGTCAATTCAAGCTTAAAGGAAATAGTGTGCTTGAGGGTATTTGGTGTTATCTCTTACAGTAAAATGGGGGTGTAGGACAAAGAGAAGATGTATACTTTTTGGTATATTTTATCTGTGGTTGCTACAGATCTTAATATCTGATCTGAAATTTTTTTCACTTCTCTCTTTTGAATGGATACTTACTAAAAATTCCCCACAATTTGCAACTTGTGGGTTTTTGAAGGAAGATGACTGAATTTGAAAAGAATCATGAGAAATAATAACTACAAATACTAGGTTAGTGTGTTAAGGCTAGGGGTCATAAAAAGAACTTATATTACTTTGCATATTAAAGATCATCTAACGTAGATACAAAATTAGGAGAAATTCTTTAAAATATGTAGTTCTCAGGGGTTAAATTCTACCTTAAATGGACAGTATTAAACCTTGTTAAGACAGAATGGGATGATTCTGTGGCCTCTTCACTTACACATCTCATCAGAAAAATTGAGCTTTTATCAGCATGACAACTGAAATGACAGGTTGGTAGCTCATCGTTGGATTATTTTTGCTTTATTTTAGTCATAAGGTCAGTTGGACTATTTAGTTTATGCCATTAGTAGCTCAGCAAATGGGCCCTGTGGCTTAAGCTCTGTGGTCTTTTCCTGTAAAGGGCCAGAAGTAAATAGTTTAGGCTTTGCAAGCCATTATGTCTCTGTTGTGAGTATTCAGCTCGGCCATTGTAGCGTGAAAGCAGCCACAGATATTACATAAACTGAGGAATGTGGCTGTGTTCCAGTAAAACTTGATCATCACTGAAATTCAATTTCATGTAACTGTCACATGTCACAAAATATTCTTCTTTTGATCGGTTTTTATACTTTTTAATGGTTGGGGAAAATTTTCTTAGCTTGCTAGCCATACAAAACAGTTGCCAACTCCTGCTTCAGAAGTTTCTAGGGTTATAGTATTCTTTACTTTTTGCTGGTCTATGTGTTTGGGGAAAGTGAGCACCTACCATGTTTCAGGGACTGATCTAAAAAGATTCTACAAGTTTCCTGTTTCTTTGTCGTCTCATCACATCTAAGGACTTCTAATGCTCTGCTTGTCTGTTTTTCAGTACGGAGCCCCAGATGCCGGTGGGTTAGAACACGTTCCTGTGGGATGGAGTTACTGGTATGCCTTGGTGAGTGATTGTTGAAGTCAGTGACAGTTACACATACCCCTACAGATGCACAACATGTTTGCTTTATGATTTAGCTCTGACATTGACATAACTTGGTTTGCTTTTACGATTGGCTCTTTAATGTCCTTGAAGGAAAGTGTTTTGATTTGTGAGTAATTTCTTTGTCCGGGTTTAACAACATATTATTGCTGTTCTACCTGATCCACTGCTGTTTCTTTTTTAAAAGTAAGACCTATTATTGAAACTATGCTAGTAGTTGATTAAAACTCTAGTCAAAAAATCTAATTCAATACGACTCGAGTAATTACCTTTTTTAAAATGTCTCATCACTGTTTAAACAGAGTATAAATTAGCCTAGCATGGTTTCCAGCTTTCATTGTGTGTCCTAATGTCATAATACATTTTACTTTCCTCTCTCTAATAGGAAAAGAATTCTAAGTACTATAATTACACCCTGTCTATCAATGGCAAGGCACGGAAGCATGGTGAAAACTACAGTGTGGACTACCTGACAGATGTTTTGGTGAGTCACTGAAACTCTGTCCTTGCAGGTTTGGCTCACATTTGATTAAAGACTTTGCCTAGAAAATCTTTAGTTGTTTTTGTTCATGTTGGGTAATGTGAATGAATAATAACTCAATTTAACTGCCAGAGAATGTTTCCAACTGATTAAAAACTCCTGAGGGTATTTTTCATTGTATATAAGCCAGGCTCAGATCTAATGTTCTTGAAATTCCAGCAACAAATCCCCCCTCCTCTTTTTTTTTAATTTGAAGAGGTTTTACTTTGTAAGGGTTCCTACTCTTGACCCCAGTTTTACTCATAAGCTACAAGATAGCTTCATCATGAGAGTGGGGTGATAGGAAAATGGGAGTTCTTCAGTCATTGTGTAGTTATATATAAAAAATGCTGAAATTGGGTGAATTTGGGACTCCCCTTTCCTGTCTAAGGTGTTTCTAATGACAACCCTTTTTAGAACATTCATTCACCAAATATTTCAATACTCCTTGTAGTAGGTGTTGAGTAGTAAATGAAGCATAGTCCTTGATTCTGTGGAAGGTAACTTTTTAGTGGCAGATTTTGTTTACATATGTGTGTGTGTGCACACATATTTATTTATTGTTTAGTTAGATGATGACCAGAGAAACAAGGCAGGGTATGGGGGTTACTTAGATAACGTTTAAGTAAAATCCTAAAGTAGGTGAAAGTCGCTGTACAGATCACAGGAAGGAGAGCCACAGACAAAAGGAATGGAAAGTATAAGGGCGCTCTGGCAGGAGTGTGCCTGGCACGTTGAGAAACCTCAGGTTCCTTACGAGGCTTGCGTAAATCGGTGCAGTCAGTACCTTTTGAGTTTAGTGTTGGGAATAAATGAAGGTATTAATCAACTTAAAAATAACATGTATGTGGGATGTTTTCATTTTCATAAAGTATCTCCAAATAAGCAAATGAAAAATGTAAATCCATATAAATTAAAGCCATAATGTCATTTATGTGGGTTTACTATTACTCATTTAGCTTAGCTACTTTAGCTGGCATAACTTAAAATATCTACTCTCTACATATTTTTGTAAGATTAAGGTAATTTAAGTCCACCTTTCCCGCTCTTGTGAATTAGATTGACTCTGTTTTATATTCTTTTCCTTTTTTTTATTCCTCACCCGAGGGCATTTTTGCATTTATTTTCAGATAGAGTGGGAGGAAGAGAGAGAGAGAGAAACATTAATGTGAGAGAGAGACATCGACTGGCTGCCACCCACACGACCCCAACTGGGGCCAGGGACAGTCTGCAACTGAGGTACGTGGCCCTAGTGGGAACCAAACCTGGGACTCTCTGGTCCATGGGCTGATGCTCTAACCCCTGAGCCAAACCAGCCAGGGCTCTTTTTATTTTTTTATTTAAAATTGCTTTTTCTTTATTGATTTTCAGAGAGAGAGAGATCGAAACATCAATGAGAGAGAACATTGATTGGCTGCCTCCTGCATGCCCCCACTGGGGATTGGGCCCACAACCTGGGCATGTGCCCTGACCAGGAATCAAACCGGCGACCTCGTGGTGCATGGGTCGACGCTCAACCACTGAGCCACACCGGTTGGGCCAGGGCTGTTTTTATATTCTTTAATTTAAGGCATCAAATAAATATATTCCAAGCTGTGTTAATGTAAGTTAATACTAAAAGGGCCAAATTACAGTTTCTTTCCATTAGAAGGCAAAATACTTTTTTGATCAGGTAAAATCGTCAGGCTCTTAATTGCCTCTTAGGATAGTTTGCTTTTCTATTTTTTATTATAAGTATTGCCTAAAAGCAAACTTTGTTCTAACAGCATGCTTGTCATTTGTCATAAATTATGTGCCAACATTTGTTAATATGACCCTGTTCCTTCTCTTCACCAGAGAACATGTATCTATCAAGTCTGCAACTGTTGGGTAGGGTGGGAAATGACAAATCTTTGTATATATCAGGCTAATGTCTCCTTGGACTTCCTGGACTACAAGTCCAACTATGAACCGTTCTTCATGATGATCTCCACTCCAGCACCTCACTCACCTTGGACAGCTGCACCTCAGTACCAGAAGCTCTTCCAGAACGTCTTCGCACCAAGGAACAAGAACTTCAACATCCATGGAACGGTAGCTTCCCTAATCCTTGAATTGAGCTGTACGCGATATAGTTAACTGTATAATATACTTGTCAGGGAGCCTTTGAGCCATGTAGTTGGTTTTCTTTCCAGATCTTTTAAAGGCAATTACACCTGTCTCTAGTAAGATAGATAGTATAAACTTGCTTCAGAAATACAGATAAGGTTCCTGCCACACATCCAGTGAGCAGCTAGAGTCCACAGGGAATATTAAAGAGATGCCATCTTCCTTGACTACAGGTTGTCCTGATAACCTCTGTGCTGGCTCTCCTGTGCCTGGCAGTGGCTGACACATGTCCCTTGGGGCCATGCTGGGCCTGCAGCAGCCTTCTCTGGTGGCCCTCACTAAGCCTGCAGGATAGAAAGAAGGGGGGTGATGCAATGCGATATGATTGGGTAGAGAAAAGAGCCAGAGCAGGGAATATAATTAGGGACCACAACCTGAGTATTTGCTTCATATGTCAGTTACTTATCCTTCCCTTGGCACAGGGGATTGGCAGTTCGCCGGTTCACATGCAGAATGCCTCTACTGTCTCATGCCTGTTCCCCAGGCATCTTTTTTTTTTTTTTTTTTTTTTTATGATCAAATGAGACCTGTTATGATCTAATTAGTTCAGCCTCATTCCCATCTTTTTTTTTTTTTTTTATCCTCACCCGAGGATATTTTTCCATTTTTTATACAGATAGAGTGGGAGGGAGAGAGAGAGAGAAACATCGACGTGAAGGGACACATCGAGTGGCTGCCACCCGCACGACCAACCAGGGCCGGGGACAAACTGCAACCGAAGTACGTGCCCTTAGCGGGAACCGAACCCGGGTCTCTCTGGACCGCAGGCCGACGCTCTAACCACTGAGCCAAACTGGCCAGGGCTCCCCAGGCATCTTAATGGCTTGGGAGGTGGTGGAAAGAATGAACGTTGGAGTTAGACTCAGCACTACCACCTTCTAGCTTAGTGACCCGACAGTGAGCAAGATGCTAACTTCCATTTTTCATGCAACTGCTCTATGGATTAAAGTACGTAGAGACATCTAGCGTATTGTCTAGAATATTGTAAGCATGTGCTTGGTAAGTGTGGTTTGAAAGCTGAGCAAGCTGAGTTTTAAACTAGAGGGCCATTCTCAAACTGTGTTCTAAGAAAAATTGATACGGGTTCCCATGACCAAGTAAGTGCAGAACCTTTAGGTTAAATAAGTCTCTCTGCTACAGGATTCCTCAGAGTTGTTCATGTTCTAGCATGAATTTCCAGCAGGAGGACATGTAGCATTTCTCAAACATTAACTAAAGAACACTTGAGGATCATAATTTGGGAGATAGCAGCTTAGGGTTCCAAGAATAAGGCGGAAGGAGATAATTAATGATGTATGGGGATGTTTTTGTTTTTTAAAAACTGAATTTTTTTATTTAAATGAGGAAGAACCCTCAAGATTTGGATTGATGTTTTAGGAAATCGCTGTGATGAGATTTTCCCAACAGTTTAGGATGATCGATATCTTGGATTAGAAAATAGAGGACAATAAAATTTCGGCTTATTAGGCAAGGTTAAGAGGAAGGTAAAGTTAATATTTACCCTTTTGTAGTTTGGGTAGAAGATCCAAAGCATAGACTCAGAGTTATAAATTTAATCTCCTTTAAGCCAATAGTTTCCCAATATCTTTCACTAAATCTCTTATTAATGCTTACTAATGCCACTGACAAAGGAGCCCAGGCTTGCCATTAGGGAGGTGGTGGGAAGACTCTGAAGATGAATGATAATCTACAGACAGTGTTTTTAGGAACACGGGAGGGAACTGGGGAGGAGGGAAAGCCTGAAGTTGCTTAAACAGGTTCTACTTAGTTCCTCTTGACTGAAGTATAAAAGGACCCCTTTCATTATCTGCTATAGTAGTTTATTTGACTGGGTGACTTGGTGTTAACATTTTTTTTTTCTTTTAAATTTTAGAACAAGCACTGGTTAATTAGGCAAGCCAAGACCCCAATGACTAATTCTTCGATACAGTTTTTAGATAATGCATTTAGGAAAAGGTAAGAGCTACTACTTTCTCAATCTGAGTGGTCTTAGAGGACCCAGATCAGCCTGTGAACAGGGGACTGTGCCACATGGTTATCTTTGAGACAAAAACTGAGGGTAACAAGGCAAGAAGACTCTTTGATGTGGGGGTGGAGGGATCTGTTGCCTTAGAAGCAAAGATTCTTTTACATTTGGGTGGGTGTGAGGTGGCCATTGGACCCCTGGGACTAATTAAACAGTCCATTTTTAAGAATTGTTAAAATATTGCAAACTGGAGCCATTTTATTTTTTTTTTAAGTTTCTTATATCTAAAGAGAAGGTCAGTTTGTTAGAGATCATTCACCCAATATTTGCATAAGACTCAAGGGCTTAAACTAGAGCAAAATATTTACCTTTGCAGTTTGGAATTTTCAAGAAGTTCTTTTAAGTCAATTTTTCAAAAAATCCATTATTAAAGGTATATACAGTTTAGACCAGGTATTGGCAAACTCTTTCTATAAAAGGCCAGATAGTAAATATAGGCTTGCAGGCCTCGTGGTCTCTGTCGCAGCTGCCCATCTCCGTGGTGGACTGCAAAACCAGCTCAAGACCGGACATGAATGAATGAGCATGGTTGTATACTCATAAAACTTTGTGAATAAAAAAACAGTGAGTTGTTTAATGGGTCATTTCAGATATGTAAGCTGAAAAAGTTCTGGAGGTCTGTTTCACTATATGAATATACTTAATACTACTGATCTGTACACTTAAACATTGTTAAGATGGTAAATTTTATGTTATATTTTTTTTACCACAATTTAAAAACAAAAACAAGAAAACAGTGGGCACACTTTGGCCTGTGGCTGCAGTTTGCCAAATCCCTAGTTTAGATCACAAACACTGTTGTGGTACAGATCTATCTGAATTAATCTGTAGTAATCAGTGCTGAATTGACAACGTGCCCTTCCAATTGTCTCTACTCTCATCACCAGTGATAATAATAAAGCTAACTGGTTATAAAAAGCTTTATTCATTTCTTTGGAAACAGTTCAATTCGGATTGAGCTAACTGTTCTGAAATTTTCTAATTTGCTTTTTTTGCAATGTGGCATCTGAGGAAAGGACATTTGGAAATTTCTCCCATTTTTGGGAGAGTGGGTTTGAAGTTTTGCAAGTGTCCCTGAGCCATTGTCTTCTGAGGTCCCATTGCCACCCTCTGTTCACATCCAGGTGGCAAACTCTACTCTCAGTTGATGACCTTGTGGAGAAACTGGTCAAGAGATTGGAGTTCATTGGGGAGCTCAACAACACTTATATCTTTTATACCTCTGACAATGGCTATCACACAGGTAAGGGGCATGGTTAGGTATTCCTGAGACCTTTGTGAGGTGCTTGTCCTTTTTCACCTAACCAGGAGCACTGGCAGGAAGCTCTGGTTCTTTTATAGCAGTTTAGAGGACAGAGGGAGGGTTCTGCCCTCAGGACCCCCTCCCCCCCCATTAGAGGGCCAACTCATTCCTACATGGAGAGACCAGTTTCATTATTTGCTACGTCACATGGTATATCATATGAGCTTGACAGGTTGGAGGCAGGATTTATGAAGAAGGTAAGAAATTAAACTGGATTTCAAGAACAAGTAGACCTTAGAGAACAGGGAAAAACTCTTTCTTGTGAAATTCATGTGTGTGTGTGTTTTGTTTTCAAAAATGCAATATGAATTAGTCCCTGTCTTTGACTTTCATTCTTTCTACTTGGACCTTTTGTAGTTAGAAACCAATGTTTTCTTCTTTCCCCACCTATAAATTTCATAAACTTGAAGGGAATTAACCTGAGGCCTGCTTGCATAAAGCAAATTGATTGGGTATTTAATGTATTATTGTGATTTTTTTTTTCTCTCCCTCTCTCTCCCTCCTACTCTATTGTGAATATTTTTAAGCACTTGAAGTAGAGACTAGTAAAATAACCCCCATTATCCAGCTTCAATTTTCAGTTGCATATGGCCAGTCTTTTGAATTTTTCCTGCCTTCCTTGTGTTTTTCTTTTAGCAAGAAGGTTTTGAAGAAATTCTAGAATTTGTGATTCTATGCATCAACAGTTGATTGTGCATCTGACTAGTTTATTATGTATCAGGATCAAGACAAAGTCCATACACTACGTTTAGTTTTTATGCATCTTAAAGCTGTCATTGCCACTGATTGATTGGAAAAACTGGTCTTTTGTCTTTTAGAACATTGCACATTCTGGCTTTGGCTAATTGCTGTCTCATGTTATCTTAACTTGTTTATTTATACTCAGCATTTCCTGTAGATTGGTAGTCAGATCTAGAGTTTTAATAGAAATTCACTTTTTCAGCAAGAACGCTTTCTTGGTAATGCTGCCGTGTACTCCCTGTTATCACTTCACGATGCCCGTAGTGTCTGGTTGCCCCTCTTTAGGGATGCTAGTATTGATTGATGGCCCCCATGTGGTGTCAGCCTGAGCCTGTCCTGTGAACCTTTTGTGGCTAAATCTGCCACTGATGCTTAAGTTCATTTTCCCTCAGACATTGCAAAATGTTTACTTTATAACTCTGTCCTTCCTTTTGCACTTATTAGCTGGAATTCCTCAGAGAAGAACTAGCCCTCATCAACTGTTTAGTTATCTTGAAATGCACTTTATTTAGGAAAGTCAGATAAATGTTCTTGTCCTTTACTTAGCAGTTTTCAGAATAACCTCATTCAATTATGATCAGGTTGAGTATTGTGCATAAATTATGTGTTTGTCTTTCAGTGTTTCCCAGTCACTCTTTTTGCTGAATTTGTCCTATCTTAGACCAGGTAGTCCCCCTAGGCACTTGTTTAAGGAAGATGAACTCATTGTTTCCTGCCTTATAGTAATGAGACCCAGGCAAATTTAAACCTATTAAAACACCATAATTAGTGGAACAAAGTTGCTATTTTTTTGTTTGTTTGTTTTCCTGTTGATTGAATGAATGTGCGCAACACTTCCATCTTGTCTCCATCTTTACCCTGTGCATTTTGTTTGCAGGACAGTTTTCTTTGCCGATAGACAAAAGGCAGCTGTATGAGTTTGATATCAAAGTTCCACTGTTGGTTCGAGGGCCTGGGATCAAACCAAATCAGACAAGCAAGGTAGGTGTCTGAAAAGATGATGCTGTTTATAGGTAGCAGTTGCCTTAGAAAAAAGAAGGCTGGTTAGATTTCTCCTATGAGGATGAAGACGGATCGGCTTAACACCGTTAAGTGTATTTGTAAGCCTTAGAAACTGACTTTTTTTTTTAACTCCTGACCACTCCCTATTAACTGTATCCCCCCACAAATATATGTGTATGTGTGTGTGTAAAATATCAGCATAATTACTTTTTAATTTTTAAATTATAGTTAATATACAATATATATTAGTTTCAGGCATAAAACATAGTGATTAGACATATACCTAATGAAGTGATCACAAGATAAGTCTAGTACTCATCTGACACCATACGTAGTTATAACAGTATTGTTGACTATATTGCCTGTGCTGTACTTCACATACCTGTGACTGACTTTATAACTGGCAGTTTTTATTTCATGGTCCCCTTCACGTTTTTCACCCTTCCCCTCATCACCTTCTCATCTGGCAGCCATCAGTTTGCTCTCTGTATATATGAGTTTGTTTGTTTCTTCTTTTTTTGGTTTGTGTATTTTATATTTTACATTCCACATGTAACTAAAATCATACAGTATTTGTCTTTCTGTTATTTCACTTAGTGTAATACCCTCTAGGTTCATCCATGTTGTTGGAAATAACAGTATTTCATTTTTATGGGTAAATATTTCATTATGTGTACCACATCTTCAGTAGACACCTAGGTTGCTTCCATATCTGGGCTATTGTAAATAATGCTGTAGTGAACACAGGGGTGCATATATCTTTTTGAATTAGTATTTTCAATTTCTTTAGATAAATACCCAGAAGTGGGTTTGCTTGGTCATATATATGGTAGTTCTGTTTCTTATTTTTTGAGGATTCTCTATACTGTTTCCCATAGTGGTTGTACCAGTTCACAATCTCACCAACAGTGTATGAAGGTTCCGTTTCCTCCACATCCTCACCAACACTTGTTTGTTGATTTACTGATTATAGCCATTCTAACAGGTGTGTGGTAATATCTCGTTGTTTTGACTTGTATGTCCCTGATAATTAGTGATATTGAGCATCTTTGTATGTGTCTGTTGGCCATCTGTATGTTCTTTTTGGAGAAGTGTCTGTTTAGGTCCTCTGCCAATTTTTAAATTGAATTGTTTGGTTTTTTTGATGTTGAGTTTTATGAGTTCTTTATATATCTTGTATATTAACCTTTTATCAGATATATCATTTGCAAATATATTTTCCCATTCAGTAGGTTGCCTTTTTGTTTCATTGATGATTTCCTTTGCTGTGCAAACGCTTTTTAGTTTGATGTAGTCTCATTGGCTTATATTTTGCTTTAGTTGTCTTTGCCCTAGGAGACATATCCAAAAAGATACTACTAAAATCATTGTCAACGAGTTTATTTATTACCCATGTTCTCTTCTAGGAGTTTTATGATTTCAGATCTTACATATAAGACTTTAATCCATTTTGAGTTTATTTTTGTATACAGTTTAAGAAAATAGTCTAATTTTATTGTTTGCATGTATCTGTTCAGTTTTCACAGCACCATTTATTGAAGAAGAGACTATTTTACCTCCTTGTATATCTTGCCTCTGTTGTCATACACTAATTGGGCATATAAGCATGGGTTTATTCTTGGGGTCTCTTTTTTTTCTATTGATCTATGTGTCTGTTTTTGTGCCAGTACCATATCGTTTTGATTACTGTAGCCTTGTAGTATAGTTTAGGATTAGGTAGTGTGATACCTCCAACTTTGTTTTACTTTGTCAACATTGCTTTGGCTATTCAGGATGTTTTGTGTTTCCAGAAAAATTTTAGGATTATATCTTCTAGTTTTGTGAAAAATACCATTGGTGTTTTGATAGGGATTGCCTTGAATCTGTGGATTGCTTTGGGTAATATGGACATTTTAACAATCTTTCAGTCCAGAGCATGGTTTAGCTTTCCATTTATCAGTGAGGTCTTTTGCTTTTTTGGTTAAATATTTTTATTCTTTGTGATGCAATTGTAAATGAGGTTGTTTTTTTTTTCCAATCCTCACCTGAGGACATTTTTCCATTTTTTGTTCAGACAGAGTGGGAGGGGGGAAGGGAGGGAGAGGTCTGTTCTGGAAAATGTTCCATGTGTACTTGAGAAAAATGTATATTTTACTTATTAAATCCATATGATCTAATGTGTCTTTTAAGGTTTCCTGTCCAGATGATGTATCCACTGGTGTAGATGGAGTATTAAATACAACAGATTGTATTACTGTTGATCTCTCCCTTAATTTGTTAAGTTTGCTTTATGTATTTAGGTGCTTCCTACACTGGTTGTGTAGATGTTTACTAGAATTATATTTTCTGGTTAGATTAATCCCTTTATCATGTAATTCCCTTCTTTGTCTGTTGTTACAGCCTTTGCTTTAATATCTATTTTGTCTGATACAGGTATTGCTACTTCAGCTTTTTTTTTTGTTTCCACTTTCCTGAAATTTTTTTCCCATCTTTTTACTTTTAGTCTGTGTGTATCTTTCGATTTAAAGTGAGTCTTTTGTAGACAGTTTATCTGTGGTCTTTTTTTTTTAAATCCTCACCCGAGGATATTTTTCCATTTATCTTCAGACAGAGTGGGAAGTAGAGAGAGGAGAGAGAGAGAGAGAGAGAGAGAGAGAGAGAGAGAGAGAGAGAAACATCGATATGAGAGACACACATAGATTGGTTACCTCCTGCACGATCCTGGCCAGGACCAGGGATGGAACTGCAACCAAGGTGCATGCCCTTGACCAGAATCAAACCCGTAATTCTTCAGTCTGTGGGCCAATGTTCTAACCACTGAGCAAAACTAGCCAGGGCTATGGGTCTTGTTTTTTATCCATTCAGCCACCCTATATCATTTGATTGGAACATTTAGTTCATTATACGTAAAGTAATTATACATAGTTATTGCTATTTGATTTATTGTTTTCTGGTTCTCTGTTCTTCTCTTGCTGTCTTGTATATTGATGACTTTCTATAGGAATTTGTTTGAGTTTTTCTTTCACTTTTGTGTACCTTTACAGGTTTTTGGTGGTTAGCATGAGATTCATATATATTAAGCTGTGTTTACAGCAGTCTATTTAAAGTTGATGGTTGCTCAAGTTTGAATGCATTCCAAAAGCACAGCATATTTTAGTCACTTTCTCCAAGTTTTGTTTTTGTGTATGTGAGTGTATCACTTAGTTTATTATTGTATTTACACATGATCTTACTACTTTTTTCATCTTCATACTTGCTTTATAATTGGTTGATGCACTACTTTTACTAAGTGTTTGCCTTTATTAGTGTGATTTTTAAAATTCTTGTATTTTCTTATTTTTAGTTTTGGCCCTTTCTTTTTGGCTAAAAGAAGTCCCTTTAACATTTTTTGTAGTTGTTAATCCTCACTCGAGAATATTTTTCCACTGATTTTTAGATAGAATGGAAAAGAGGGGGAGAGAGAGAAAGAGAAACATTGATGTGAGAGATACACATCGACTGGTTGCCTTCCACATGACCCCAACTGGGGCCGGGGATCGAACTTGCAACCCAGGTATGTGTCCTTGACCAGGAATCAAACCTGTGACCCTTCAGTCTGCAGGCAAGTGTTTTAACCGCTGAGCCAAACCAGCCAGGGCCCTTTAACATTTCTTATAATGCCAGTTTAGTGGTGATGAACTCCTTTAGCTTTTGCTTGTCTGGGAAATTCTCCTTCAATTATGAATAATAACCTTCCTGGATATAGTGTTCTTGGTTGTAGATTGTCCCTTTCATGAATTTGAATATATTATGCCATTCCTTTTGTCCTGAAGAGTATCTGTTAATGAAAAATCAGCTGATAGTCTTATGGGTGTTCTTTTGTACATAGCAAGCTGCTTTTCTCTTGCTACTTTTAAGATTCTTTGTCTTTAACTTTTGGCATTTTAATTATGATGTGTCTTGGTGTGGGCCTCTTTGGGTTCATCTTGTTTGGGGCTCTCTATGAATCCTGGTTTTAGGTGTCTATTTTCTTCACCAGGTTAGGCAAGTTTCCAGTCGTTTCTTCAAATAAGTTTTCTCTTTTTCTCTCCTCCTTATGGGACCCTTATGATGCAAAAGTTGCTATGCTTGAGGTCCCAGAGTGTGTTGGGTAGGGCAGGGTCTCAAGGAGATGCTGGGGCAGGGTGAGTGGTGTTAGCCAAGTTAATGGATAGCATTCGGGCCAGCTAGGTGGGAGGAGTTGAACAATGGCACCACCAACGCTTCTGTTCCCTGAGAGAGTTGCCCTCACCTCTGCCCCTCCAGGCCTCACACTAAAGTTAGTAGATTTCATTCCTCTTTGTATGACCCAGGTGCTTCTTGAGCTGCTGCCTCTGCACTGGAGCTTGGAGCAAGTGAGTTAGTGTGTGAGCCCTATAAGATCAGCATCTGGGTTTCCCATAGCTTTTGTCTCATACATGTCCTTTGATTTTTCAAAGCCAAATGTAATGGGACTCCTCTTCCTAGCACATGTGCCTTAGGCTGGGGAGCCCAGTATGGGGCTTGGACCCCTCACTGCTCTAGGGGGACCTTTGCAGCCAAGATATTTCTCCCATTTATTAATCACCACACCATGGGGGTGGACCTGCCTGGTCTGTGTCTCTGTCACTTCTGTCTGTCCCCACATGGCTTCTTAATTATAGGACTTCTGTTCAGCGAATCCTTAGGTGGTTCTCAGTGATAATTATTCTATAATTTAGTTGTAATTTGGATGTGTTAATAGGAGGAGGTGAGTTCGGGATTTACCTACTTCTCCATCTTGACTCTGCCTCTTTTTTTTTTGTTAATCCTCACCGGAGAATATCTTTTCCATTGATCTTATAGAAAGTGGGAGGGAGAGGAGGGAGAGAGAGAGAGAGAATGTGAGAGTGACACATCGATTGGTTGTCTCCCACATGTGCCCCAATTGGGGCCTGGGATCATACCTGCAGCCCAGTTATGTGCCCTTGACTGAGAATTGAACCCGTGACCCTTTGGTGCAA